TATAAAAGTTGAGGTAGCCATTCTAGAAGTCACTTTTCTAGGTGTCGCCACACGAATAGTTATTAGTGAAAGACGTACCGCAAAGCGGTCGCTTTCTCGCACATTGCTTTCACTTGACGCGCCCCATGGTAACAGCCATCGTATCAGATGTTCAAAGAACTTCCTAAACTACATTATATACTTTTTAGAATTCAAGAAGAAAGTTGTAGCCAGGACTCGCCACGAGGTGGCTTTTGGAAAATGCAAAAAACGAGGTCCCCCTTGACTTTCGCGACTTACGAAGTCGCTTTTGACCCTAAACCCTAAACATAAAAAACCTTTGAAAAACGAAACGTCAACTATAAAAAAACTTCACAATTTTTGTGTCTTTTCGGCCTCGAAAACGATACCTCCTTTGCCTTTGGTCTTAAAAACAATATCCAGCTTGCTTACAAGCCACCTGTGCCAAGACCTGGTTGTAATTCATCAAACGCATCAGTTTCGCTTGATCAAAAAGTCAAAAAGTTCAGAAAAAATTTGAAGATCATAACTGTTCGTGGAGACATCCAATCAGCACAGTCATCCTTGAGTAGAAAGAGCAGAAATAGGAAGAGCAGGTCATAAGGCTAAAAGTAAGATCAGGTTACAGTAAATTTTTGATTTTGTAAAACGCAAAAATCATTTCCAAGTGTTTCCCTGAATCAGCTTGTATCACTGCGATATCCCTACAAGGAATATTTGTTTGGGCGATTCCAAGAATCTCAAAATCCTTTTCTGGATTTCTATCAAATCGAAATTTCGTTGAAGAAGAATGAGAATTTACCAAAATTTCGATGTAAGTTCCATGTTTATGCGCGAAAGTTCCAATATTTAGGCCAAATTTTATTAGATACAAAAAGAAACATGGTACGGCAATTAGTGCGAAATAATACTTTAGTGCTTTTATCCTTATATAGTTTTCTAGGTATAGCAAGCCTTACGGAAATTTGTCTATGAGCTCTTTTGGTAATTGTTTATGTGCCGTAATGAAAAGAATGTCGCTTTTTTTGATTCTTTTTTTGGTTTAATATTTATTTTCCCGGAAATTGGAGCACGTAAAGACCGCTTTGTATTGAAGTTTCGAAGGCTTGTAGTGCACAACTGCTATATGGGAGGGACTCATGATTGCTAGGGGTGCAGTTTGCCAATCTCCGATTTCCATTTTTTTGATTTCTAACCAAGAAAAGAAAGCAAATTTACATGTGTGTGAGCGCATGTATCTACTACACTCTCGAGCATGCAGCAGCAAAGGTTTTTTTGGGTTTCTTTGGTTCGATTTTTGACTTCATGAATTGTTCATGAATTTGTCTTTGAACTTTGTGTCAGTTACAATTTATGACGATAATTGGTGGTTATCTTGGGGAGAATTGCATAGCTCTATTGAATGGTACTACTCGTACATTTTTTAGAGCTCATTGTTGCTTTGCCATGAAAAATGACATTCTTTTCTTCCCAACCTAATGAATGTGGATATTTTTTCAGCTTAATGGCTATGTTTTGAAAAAGATTCGGTTTAGTAACCAAAGATTAATGTGGCATTATCCCAAGTTCGGTAAGAAACTGACTGATGAATGTTGAGACATAGATCCTAAATAGCCGCGACATCTCTACATCACGAAACGTTTTTCAGCAAGTTCTTTCAAAGAGTGCAATTTCTCGTCGTGGAGCACCTAAATAACGCGCACTCGAACACGGCTTTCCTTAATTTTGCGGATGTTGTGCAGTTGACGCGCGGTCACCCACGCGGCTACTAGCCGCACATCACGGAGATCCATACGAGACTGCGTGGCTGTGCTGCTGCTGCTGCGTCAGAGTGTCCATCTCACTGCGTTTGACACCTCGGGGGCAATCAATATTGCATCTCAGCTCGCGGATATCCGCTATGTGCACTTTTAAGGGGGGGGGGGTGCGTGTATACATAGTATGTGCATGTATGTTTGTGTATGTGTGTATATGTGTGGCTAATCGGCTGCCGAGGGCGGCAGCAGCCGCAGGGGGCCGCCGGCGCGGCGACGGCGGGCGGCCCCCCTCCGGCAGCTCATGACCCGCACTCGGCTGCCGCTCATTATCGTCGGGCTCGTTCACATTACCCGCTCATGCCAATTGAATCTTTAGAGTTCTTTAGGACTTTTAGCTTAAACCCATAAAACGGGCCATCGCTTCTCTATCTAAAAAATTCCTTTCTTTTTCCAGTTCTTTTCCCCGCAATCGCCACTTTCCCTTATTTATTTCGTGGTGTTTTTGCTTCTTATCCGCTTTTAAGTGCAGACTTTCAGGGGACTCACATTGTCATCCTTATAAGTGGACCTATTCCACTGCAATTTTCTCTGCCCTTATTCATTTTCAGTTAAGTCCCTCACATTTGCAGCTTATGTCTAAAATTTTAAAACATTTTCACTGAAAGTCAGCCAATAATATTAGAAACTTGGCTATGGCTGAATTAGATGGAAAATAGTACTACCGTGCTAAGGTTCATCGAAAGTCTTGCATTTTATTTTTTCTCATATTCACTCGATGAGGTTATAGCAACGAACTTTACCGTCATTATTATTGTGTGAAGAATTTACCTTGAATGAAGCGTTGTGGACATTTGCAGCCAGTACCCTTTCTTCATACTTAATCAAAATATAACCAGGTAAATAACCGCTTGATTTAAATTCTAAACCCATCGGTCTAAAGAACAAACACCACTTCATTTTTTTTGGACCCATTCAGCTATTCACTTAGTGAACCCACTTTCACTATTTCGCCCGCGAAATGTGAGTAAAACTTTCTGATCCATTCACTTTCTTAAGAAAGAGTGTTTAACATGACAACTGTGCTATACGATGCTGCGGTGTTCGTTATCTTTTACGTGAAATAACCTTGATCAGGTTTCCATGTGTGAAAAACTCTTCGCGTTCGGTTTTGAGTTTTTTTTTTGCATAAAAAATTACCGTGGACCATAGGAACTTTTCGTATCCTTTATGAAATTTTCCTCGCTAAAATGAACTGTACAGTTTACTTTCATCTTGCCAATTATCATGTGCTTATGAGGGGCCGCGAAATAATGAAAATTCTCTGCTAATAAAACATCTGCTTTATTTGTCAGAGATCTGAAGTATTCATCTTGTAGCCCTTGCTTTAGCTGGTTCCAGTCTAGAACGAGTTTTGTACCTATCTAAACGTATTAGGATTACCACAGTGGTTATAACTTTTGTACATCTAAGAAATCAACATTACTCTCGGAATTACTTTGCTTTTATGATTAAGTCACTGTCTGAATCTTCTTGGAACTCAAGCTCTCTGTGCAGTAGCTGCTTAAACCTCTACTTTCGAAAATTATGAGAGGCAAAGGTACAAAAAAGCTCTTAGCACTCAATGCCTGTGATTTTTATAAACAAATTTGATATATCTTGGGTCTACGACACTATTTCAAAGCCGTGCTGGGAATTGCGCAAGAAATAAAAAAACGTAAAATCTTAAGTAATAGAATCGCGGTAAATGCAGTACACAAACGTGTCTACGATATTGGCTTCATTGTTAGGCAAAGTACAAAACCGTACTATAGACCTTGTCGTACCAGTTGCTGTTCAATTTTCTTCCTTCAATTAGGATCCTCCCTTTGGAAAGTCAAATCTTGGGTGTGTCTTCACCTCTGAGTGCACTCGCAAATCCCATTGGACGTTCTTATCTAGACGAGATCTGCGTTTTAGCACATTTCGGTCTGAAAAATCCGACAAACTTCGCTATTTTCTCTCTCTTAGATTTATACCGTCATAAATCATTGAACGCTTTGTGTCTCAGTTGTCCTGAATATACTATACATAATAGGTTGGTTCAAAAGTTCTGTCGCGCCATTTCCAAAAAATCGTAATTTCTTTTTGTCTATAATATTGCTACTAATAAATATTATTGAGGATGGTAAACCTTGTAAATGGAAGAATGAGATTTCCAAAACTTCGACGATGTTAAGCAATTCGTAATGAAATCTAAAAAGCATGCAGCAAAATCCAAAATGGTTTTTATTATAAGTTTTTGGATCTCCTCCTTCTATCTAGGCAAAGTTTCGTCTGATCGAGCTATTCTATGGAAAATTATGATCTTCGAGGAAAATGCAAAAAATTGGTTTTGTTCCTTGTAAATTATAAATTTTCATAGATAAGGTGGATTAGTACAAATTTTAGAAATAGAAGATCCCAAAACATTTAATCGCAATTATTTTTTTATTGCATAGTTTTTTTTTTACTTTCTACGATGTGCCTTTAGAAAGTACAAGACTTACTGTTTCCCAGCGTCTTTATGAGTAGCATTTTTACTTAGATAAAATGAACTTACGATTATTTGAAAAGACGACAGAATATTTGGAACAAACTTTATATCTATTCGGTCAAAAACTGTAAGTCATCGCTTCTGTACTTTTTTGTAGGCCCATTGTTATTTTTGCCAAGTCTACAAGTATTTGTAATTTATGCTTCCTTTCAAATTATTACATACCATAAATCTTGTCTAATTCCCCTTTTTCCAGAACAACTGACCAGCCAAGAAATTTAGCAGAATCATCCAAACATTTTTGTTTCCAAGCTTTCTATGATTTTTATTCGAATCATCAGTCATTGTCGGTTTTAGTTCATTCGTACTTCGAATCGCCAACATCCATCTTCGCAGAAAAAAACCTTCAGAATCACGTACTCTTCTCAGTTGTCTTACATTTCCCATAATTTGTCTTCGACAAATTCGTGTTGTGTTGTGCCATATCGCTATAGAAATTTCTCCATTTTATTTGCAAACTGTACAAGTTTCTGATTCAGCGATTTCAAACAATTGTTGCGCATGCATGAATAGTTTTGTTTGAATAGTGAGTATAAAGGAAATTGATTTTCTTTTTGTCCCTTTACGCTCTGATTGCTAAATTGTTATAGGGGTAAAAGTGCAGGGAGTACGGACTTTTTTCCTGAACGTGCCCTTTGCTTTGTAAATTTTTATCTTATGTTTAGGAGACCATGCCGCGTTAGTAAGAAAAAAAAATGCTGCTATTTTTTTGGCAATGATACTGCTTTTTCCTATCACTTTTTCTGCAATCGTTCTCTTATTGTTCGAGTTTTTTCCTTATTTCAAATCATGTACTTTCCACATTATAGTCGTTGTATTCAATATTCCGGGCCTGGGTTTCGCCCTACTTCGGACGGCGGTCATATTCTCGGCGGCCGTCCACGCGCGCGACCGACCTCCATTCACACAGGAGGTGAGTGCTAGCAAATTCTCCCGAAACGAAAAAGGAGAGTTATGTGAAAACTGCTGAAAGAGCTTAGCAAAGCGCAATCGTGTGGAAGAGCAGCGCCGAGAGCAACGAGGATTGACGGCGTACGGCTTTGCTGAATAAATTATGACGGTGCTGAGCTGTGCCCCCTCCTTCATCTGCTTAACACAGAGCTTAACGCGCTCGACGCTCGCCGGCAAGATCCATTAGGGTATTGAGTGAGGAAAATAAACCCCAGGCACAAATATGGTCAAAAGTTTTTGAAGTCTCACAAGGAAAGGATATTGGTGACCGTGAGTGCGTAACGAGTTGATGCTGATAAATGCGCCTTTTGATTTTAGTTCTAGAACCAGGGCTCGGCACGAGGTGGCTTCCTGGAAATGCAAAAAATGAATTCCCGCAAAATTCTACGAAGTCCCCTTTGACCCTTATCCGAACTATCTAAATCGACTAGCGAAACGTCGAACGTTACTCAGCTTGCTTGTAAGCCACATGAGCCGAGCCTTATTTAGAACTTTCTTCTAAATATGTAAAACCATAAACTGAATGGACCATTATTTTTTCAAGAGAAAATTGCACCACTGCAGTGCTCAAATTCATAAACGAATTCTCTTGCCTTTTCGACCGCAAATATATATTGATCATTCTAAATACACAGTATTCCTCTTACATTAGTTTTTTGGTAGCAGCGGACGATAAAATAAACCAAAGCTATCCAGTTTACCCCATTCTCAGAAAAAAAGCCATAACTTCCCTTATGAAATTGTTTCACAGTTAGCAAGGACAATTAGGGTAATTTTGGAATTATGTAGTATGGGTTCTTTACATTCCGGATGGCCACGGGTCCCATTTTTCCATTTTATTATTTGTATTTTTATTATTCCACGGTCCCCATGCCTAAGCTTTTGACTCGAAGTGGGCTTTCTTAACGAATTGTGTATAGTAACAACTCTTATGAGGTGCTGATTTCAAATCTAACTTCCAAATTTGCTATATGGTTCAGTGGACTTGTCCCCAAAAAAATGTGCCCATTGTTTGATTGCTAATAGTTCTCTTGTCATGAGGTCTTTCAACAAGGTTCAGGTATCATTTTATAGAGCTGGCTTCATCTTATATTTGAAGCATGGATCAAATTACCGATCTATTTTTATTACTGTAGGAGTAGGGTAGGAACTCGAAGCCTAAGGCCACGTGAGATAGGCCATGAAAAAAGGTAATTGAAAAAATCTTGAATATCATGTAACAAGTTTCTCACGCATGCTGAATTCACTACGTGAACTTTTGCATTCTCAGAGTTTTTACGTGGCGTAATAATATTTTTCAATATCAGAAATCGGTGTGATAAGGTATATCTGGCACAACTTATGGGAAAAGCATTACCGGAAATGTGGGTTTCATATTCGACTCAGTCCGAATCAGCGACTCCGACTGACCTAGTGTTGGAGTTTTCAGTCTCTTTAGTTCTTTTCTAGAGGTAGGTTACGACCCTTAATGACGCAAACAAAGTTCCTACCGTAATCAGTAATGAAGAGAGAACAGTAACTTGCTCCATACTGTAGATCTAAGTTGAAGCCAACTCTACAAATCGTACCTGGAGCTCCACCCTTTTACCTTAGTTCGAAAGACTTCATGACATGAGAGTCATTAACATTTAAACAGTAGGCATTGGGACACCCTGTGAAAATAAAAAGTTTATATTAAAAAATTATCAGTAAATTTTGCAATAATTTTTCTCCCTATCATTCAGTACAATACTCAGTATTCTTCCTTCATATTGTGCTTCACGATATGGGATACTGTTGGAACTGCAGTTATTTCTAGAAAGACATTAATCCACTTTTATGGTGCAGATTGTCAGGTGCTGTCATTAGGAACGTACACTACGAACTTCTGATCTGATGTATTAAGGTTTTGAGATTCTGTACGACACTTAGTTCATTCAAATTTTTGTAGAAACGACATCTGACATATCATAAAGAACGTTAAGTAGCACAGCTAGAGAATTATCTCTGGTCAGCTAGAAAAGGCTGGATTGGAATAAAAAAGCAAAACATTTCCAAATATTTTTAGGGTCACCGTGAGTCAAACGCAACTTTACAGAATGAGTAGAATAACAACACGAAAAAAATAAACGCAATTGTGAAAACAAGAAAGTGACCGGAAAACCCATGTCAGCATACGCTATGGTTTGTGAATAATTGTTTGAAACAATCAGAAGAATAATCTTTGTAAAAGTTTACTGACTAACATGAAGTAAGTGCCCAGATCGCTTGAAAGTTATGTGATTGAGCAAGTTTTCTTACATTGATTTGAAGAAAATAATTCGAAGTCCGTCTGATGAGCGATTAGAAATCTCAGTGAAATTTTATCTACTTTTGTAGACCCATAATTATTCTGAGCTTCCTGACTGATCGAAAACAAGTGATCATATCTGAGCTTTGTTCGTATTGTACTTTTGAATCGGTTTTGGTGCCCTCGTGAGAAGTCATTGGTTGTTTTGACATGTTATGATCAGGATGATTAGGAGGGGGGGGGGAGGGTACTGACAGGTGAAGAGAGGCATCAACCTCTTTGTGTAATAATCCAGAGTTCACCCGCGGCAATGCGGTTTCAAATTACTACTTCCAGGATCCGAACTTGCAATATCTTTGCCGTGGATCACTTTCTGACTATGCCGCATGTCAGTGCAAAGAGGATGAAGGCGAAGTTGCTTGCATAAATGCACAATTTGTGGACACAGATGTTTTCTTCAATCTCAATGCCCACTATAAGTAAGTAATTGGTAACTTTGAACAAAAAAGAAAATCTATAAATTGTCCAAGAAAACAGGATATTTGATAGATTTGATGCATATAGTGCCCCTGCGGTGCTGACAGCACTTGCGCGTGAACAATATATTGCCTGCAATGTGTGAAATAACCATAGAGAGCACATGTTTCAGTTTTGCACCTGGCTATCTATTCACGCGCAGTTATTGTCAGCAACGTAGGAGCACTATGTGAAGTTAAATCTACTACTTACGTGTCGTTCTGAGCTCCGCAATTTAGGAAAATTCAAAGAATCCAAACTTTCATATCTCTCATCATCCATAGCCCGACAGTCTTGTAAAATCGGTCTTTAGATTTGCCATGTATTTGATAACGTAGTAACGAACTTTGAAAACGTACTAATTATAGTTTCACTGTTTTGAGAATTTGCTAAAATCTTCTCCTTTGCTTTTCAGATCGCTTCAAAAGGTGACTTTTCATGGAAACAATTTCCAAGATCTGCCGTCTACTTCGCTGTTCGGCTCTGTAAGCCATAGCAGGCTGCATACTTTGAATATTTCGGCCAATTATATAGGTTTGTCGGTTTGATATACTCGTATTTCGTTCATATATGAGCGCAATCGTAAAAAAATGATGTTGCGTCACTCTTCATATATGAGTGGCATTGATATGAATATCAATCAACAAAGTGTCAGTTCATTGGGTGCACAAATTATTGCTACTGTTAGAAATTTTAATTTTAAATCTAGTGACAGAATATGTGCAGATTCCTATAGAATCATAATTTATTCATAACTTCAAATCAAAAATTTCCTCGCGTCATGTTTGAAATTGCCGCAAAAAGTAAATGCATGAATAATGCATGCAACTCGAACTTTGAGGCTAAAATTACTTGGCAACACACGTTTTTGTTCTATGTATCGCATGTCTTCAAATGATGATGCTAGACAGGATAAAGTAAGTATGAGAAGTGTGCATGTATCAGAGGCGATCCGATAAATTTTCTCGGGGTCTGATAATAGAATTTCTTTGAATGGTGTGGAGATTTTCGAAGATTTTTGTGATGGCCCTCAGATTTTTAGCGGGCTTCGCAGCCCCTACTATTGTAATAGAAAAGCTATGCCTAGCGCCTGCAGCAAAAATTCTAAGGGAGCCTCCCCCCCCAAAAAAAAAGAATTATTCTTGCCAGTTTTATAGATTAACCCAAACTCTGGGATCAGAGTTACTTATGTATGAAGAAATGTCATTCGCATTGTTCTATAACTGTTCTATAACTCAAGTACGCTACTTTCAAGAGTTTTCGTGACCTTCAAAATCACAAAATTATCCTTAAATTAGAACCTAAGAAGGAACCATAGTGTTTTTAAATTTTCTTATTACCTGTTTTATTACACAATTTTTTGAGTTCTAGTTCATTTGAACCAAATTTGTTTATAGCTCATGTTATCGCTCGCCGTGTTTTCAGTGAACCTCAATTCAAATGCCTTGAAAGGCCTGCCAAATCTGCGAGTCTTGGATTTGTCCAACAACGAGATTGTACTCAAGGAAAGCGATGTCGATTTTCTAACTCACACTCCACGATTGACTGAAGTATGTTGCCTTTGATTATATGGAAGAAGTAGAACAGGAAGACAACCGGAAAGTGCCAGTGTTTTTTATTTCTCGTAAAAATTGACGTGCTGGAAATTGCTTTTATCTGAAATCAATTACTCCATGTGTAAGGGTTGAATTGCTGCGGATGTTAAATCGTACTAGGCACTATTTCGTTTCTTGGATTTTTTCCTGTTTCAAGCGGCGCTTATAGTTGGGAAGTAGAGAAGGCAATTGATAAAGCGTCTTTGCTTGTCGCACATAATTTCAATTGTTTTAATTTCGAAGAAAAAATTCAGAAATTCAAAGAGCTTTTGGGATTTTGTTTCCTCAAAGAGCTTCGTATTTTCGAAAACGAAAATAGTGAATAGATAACCCACTATCTGCTCAGAATTATTCCAAGCGGTGGGAACTGCAGGTCCATAAAAATAAATACAGTTTTATCTTATAAAGTACATGAATTGTAGATGACCGCACAGGATAGGACAATTTGAACGATGACTTTCAAAATGGTTTGCGATAACATTTTTGCGGAAACGAATGCGTCGTTTTCGGACAAAGTGCTTGCGATTTGCGCGTAAATAGCCGTAGAGAACGCACATTGTCACTGTTAACGCAAAAATGTTGTCGATAACGCAAGAGCACTACAAATCTATCAAGCTATGTATATGACCGAAAGTTAGTTCGCCATTTTAAAAAATCATAACTCCCTTCCTTTTCGATAGATTTTATTGAATTTATTTTTGTTTGAAAGAGGAAGCCTTTCTCTTTACAGCGGTACTCTCAACAAATTGTTATGAGAAAGTTCGAGAATTAGAAGCAAGCGAAGATTTTTCACTAAAATCAAGATTGCCCTCGATTGGTACGATTTTTGGTCAGCTAGAAAGAGAAGCTATATCAGACAAAAATACTTTCAGAATTTTTCGTGGCCCTGCTTGGAAAACGCCAATTTTGATTAATTTTATTCAATTGCTTTTAACTTTCCATTTTTCTCATGGCAATTCGTGACCAAGGAGTTATAAAGAGAACGGTTTCGTCTTTCCAATAATATAATTTCAGCCAAATCCATAACTAGAAGAAGGTTATGATCTTAAAAAGAAATGGCGAACGAACTTTTGGTCCTACCTAATATATGATGATTTCGATGCCACTATATCGAAATGCAGATCGGTAAACAAATAAGCAAAACTGAATCTTTGCAGTTGTATCTGCGGCGAGCCTTCACTGCCACCATTAACAGAACAGTACAGTTTGATTTGATGATGAGGATGTTCAAAAAGGCTAATCTGAAACATTTGGAGGTAAGTGCAAACGTTTTACTTTATAGAGTTTCTTTATGCTGGAATTTCTGGTATTCGAGAGTTTCAGAGCTTATAAGGAGAACAAGGGAAAAGAACACTTTTTTGATGCATTTCTTTGGTTTCTTTCGACATCGACTCGTACCATCAGATAACCCATGAATATCGCACGGAATAATTGGAAATTCATGATTTTTTCCACTTTCATTTAATTTGTTTCATTCGGTATAACTTATGAACAAAATTTGCGCCTCTAGAAGTGTTTGAAGGAGAAGTCAATGTCTAGTAATATCTCTGGGATAGAATATTTTCAAAAAGTTACTAGCAATTTTCAAATTACTACTTATTCGACTTTTCGATTTAGTCGGTTAGAATGTCTACTTATCCAAAAATACAACATCGATCCAAGTTTTTCAATTATTTCAAGAAAGAAATTAATTCGTAAATTTGGTGCAGAAATCATGGTGCCTAAAAGATAGGCTTCTCAACCACTATGACTTTTCAATAAATTCTTCTTGAGCCAAATGTTTTATTTTCGAAGCGATCGCCCTACTTATCAACGGGCTTGAAGTTAAAATTTATCTTGAAAGTGCATACTCGTATTCACGACGAACAAGATATGTATGATTCTGTAAATATCAAGCTAGCATTGAGGTTAGAATACCTCAAAGTATGCTTTTAAGGTAAATCTTATTCTCAAAATTTGTTGATGTGTACCGCCACGTAAAGTTTTTGAAATTAAGCTCGCATATAATTCATAAATAGCACTCAAGGTTAAATCATGCAGAAATTTTTCTTCTGTCAACAAATTTTTCACGCTCTGCATAGCATTCTTGTTCCATTTATTCAACTATACTTCGACTTGAATGCTCTCTCTCCCCACTGCGTTTTCCGTTTTGCAGCCGTTTTCAAAATTGTGCATTCCGCATGGTAATTCAGCCATGAAATGAGGTTATTCTCGAAAGCAGCTAGAATTTTCTATACACCTTTGTACGATTTTTTTTTGTGCACTAGTTTAGTTTGACGCAGTTGCCCGATGATAAAGAATAAGTGTTGGGGGAGATGTTGATAAAAAGGGGAAGAATGATTGGTCACAATGAGAAACGTTCGTCTTAAACTTTTTCAAGGAAAGGTTGTGTGGCTTAGAAAAATGGACCGTTAGTGGCTATTTTATATATATTGTATTACTAGCTGTAAAGCTTAATGTGCAAGGCTTGGAGTGAAATTCTACTTAATTCTACGAAAAGTATTATAATCAGTTCGTCTAATACAATGTTTCGTTATGTACGATAACGTGGAGTTGTTGTATAATCAATTCCAAATAACCGAAAAGTAGAAAGAAATTGAATTTTCATCCATAGCTGCATCCGATTATTACATTTTCCCTTATATAGAAAGGGTAGCCAAAGAAGGAAGACCAAAAATAGATTGAATTTTGATTGATCAGTCTATTGCTTTTAACCGAAATCTATGAGACTGCAATTCTTTTTATGAGCCTTTATCACCGCCATATGCAGACTGATAAATTTGTTACCATTTCCGTTTTGAACAAATTCATACGCTTTAGTTCAAAAAAAAAAGAAGCTTTTATGATGCTCCCTGAAAACCCCAAAATTTCAAATCTTGCGATATGTTTCCTTTTCAATGTGTGGTCATCTACACTGAACATTTTACAGGTTCTCGATCTGTCGTACAACTTTCTACAAACAGTTCCATTCGAATTGCCATGTCCGTTTCCATCACTGACCTCGCTTGATCTTCGGCAAAATTTCCTTAAAACTCTAACTGTCAATTCCTCATGTCTGTCAAACGTTCGATCTCTCGATTTGAGCAGGTAGCGGTTGCACCAGTTGGTTTTGAAGTCTGACATACTAAATTATTCTTTTCCAGAAACCAGTTCTACTCCTTGACGCCATCTTTTCGGGAGTTGGCTTCTTCAGCACCTGCAGATACTTATGTGCTACGGAATCCTTTCCACTGTGATTGTAAATCGAACGACTACATTACTTGGGTCAGATCCACAGACGTTGTAAGTTTCTTATGTTACAGCGCGAAGATTTGATTTTTTATCAACTTCAACCACATCCTGAAAATGGGTTACGGAATCTTTGTAAGCGATCTGACTTACAATTTAGTTCCGTAGTTTATTCGAGTCTGTAAGAAGTTGTGCTTTGAAAATTGCGTAAAGACTGTGGATTTTTCGGGGCTTGGCTAATAATTCTCCCCTTTCTTCATGATTTTTCGAAAGGAGCTTCTCAAACTTTTTGTGGTAGGAAAGGCTCAAGATCCCGTCTCGAGAGTAGATTGCGAATCTTTCCAAAGTTGATAGCGAATTATATAGTCAACGGATCATTTTGAGGCAACTTGTTTTTGGGCACAGAGATGTTGTGCATTTTGTAGATGAAGTGAACTGTGCTACAGATTCTCAATACAAAACGTAAGCAAACTTAATACCCGAAAATTGTTGGAGGGTTTGCGACCACGCTCTTTTAACTGCTAGAAAATTGTGCGTTCCTTAACTTTCTAAATAATTTTTGTGAATTATCTGCACAAAGTTCGCAGCTAATTCCAATACTGAAGAGAATCTGGAAGACGTGTAGCATAAGATTGCATGCTGAAAATTCGGGATCGCTTTTTTCGAATTTATCAAATCTTTACACTGAGTTCTTTTTGTGGGCCGTGCTACAATTTATACAGTTTGATGAATCTGCCTATTGTATATTTCAGATCCGAGATAAACACAGTTTGGTATGCGATCGAGCCAGCCCTCGGAATTATGTCGGTGCACGTCTGGTAGAAGTTCCACTTCACAAATTGGACTGTTCTGTGAATCTATTCGCAATGAGTTCGCCACATTATTCCTTGTTCACGGCTCTTGTCATTCTCTTCACATCTTTTCTATTTTGAAATGTATTCTTTTGATCTGATGAGTTAACAGTGGCGAAAGAGGGAGGAAAACTTCACACAAGCTTCAGGAAACAGAGTCCAGATAATGCGGATTTTTTTTCTTGCGCGAAGCAGACGAAGTGATGTGATCAGTTGTGATTCAGTATAAAGTACCCAGTTTTGGGCATACCCGTTTTCGGTGTGTACCTCTTGAGTGAATGACTGCGAAATTTTTTAAATTGTAGCGCCTATGTAAATGGTCCGCTCAGAATTAGCTTTTCTCGCTTTTCAGACTTTTCTAGTCCACGTGATACCTCATTGGGAGTGTTCAAACTTTTTTGTTATTGTATTATATGAGCTTCTTATGTTTCAGTATTTACAAAGACTTGTACTTGAATATACGGTTTTGCAGTTCAAAAACAATTGAAATTTTGTTCAATCTGGAAATCAACATTTAAATATGATTTACAGTAGCGCTATATAACACAGTTTAGTAGATATCACATAATTATAGTGCTTCTGCGGTGACGACAACACTTGAGCGCAAAGAAATGCGATGGTTGTGAATACCGTCCACTTGCTTGTGACTTGCTGTATAGAGCGCACATTGGCATTATTTACGCGCAAATGTTGTCGGTAAGCACCTACACTATATTCATCGTCCTACTACTCTATAGCTGTCTATATCATCATACAAGTAGGATTGTCATGCAATTGTATATGCCTTGTATCTTTCTCTCCATTTACTTCGCTCAGTTATCATGCTATGCCAACTTGTATAGTATTCACTGGTATCCCTTCTGAAATCTGAAAGTTTTTTTTTGTAATTTTCAATAAGTTGCATTGATTCGTTGATGATGACAGGCTACTATCATATTGCTTGTTGTGACGTTAGAGATGTTACATTTCATAATTTTTTGAAGGCAATAAAAGTACAAAAATGATGTCATTGACTCTTCCCTCCGGCTTCTTTGAGGCATTGCTTTTCTGGAACTAGTTCGTTTATCCTGCCACAATCTCTTGTCGCATATAAATTATATAAACTCATTCAAAAAATTGTTAAAGCTATAAATGAGGCATGAAAACAGGAAAGACACCGTGGTCTACGGTATTTCAATCTCATGGAATTTGAAAGGTGCTACAGCTACTCCAGAGTTGTCGCAAATACTTTATCACAGTCTAGTCATCACAAACGTAACGTGTGCAATTGCGCACAACGCACGGAGTGCGTCCCGCATCCCGGACATCGTTGACCATTACAAAAGATTTTATTCATGTTTTTGACTTTCAGCATTCATATCTATTTTCATGTTTTCCGAGGGGAACATTCAGGTTCATTCGGGCTTTGTCCAGGATGGAACGCACAGTGTGCGTTCTGTACAGTTTCACATAGGTACCGTTTGATTCGACTGGTTTGGCCTTGAGAAGGCGGAGCTTCGTGACCTAATTAAGGTAGCTAGTGATCAAAGAGCACCCGCGCGTGAGAGACGCAGGTGCGTTTCGGCGCGGGCGGCCTCAATTACGTCACAAAGCCCCGCCTTCCCGAAGACATGCCAGCCAAATCAAAGGTTAGTTGAAATGACTATTGAGCTGAGAAACAAAGCGACACGAGTATGAGAAAATACGAATAAATAAATTTTTTTGTTAGAGGAAAAAGCAAGCTATATATGAACATTACATGCTCGAAATAGACCTCTAAATAACCCCAGTCGTATTCTAGCGAGCTACTACGCGGCTGCCATGCTATCACTGACAGCCGAAAATTTTAATCGTCTATTAAATCCCGAAAATAATGATATCTTGAGTGTGCGTGCAAATAGGAATGTCTTAGCGCTTTTCTAGATATCAAAGTCCAAAATATAAGGGTGGGGGGGGGAATGGCAGGAGTACCCGTCGATATGGATTGTTCTGGATTTGGCCTTGTCTTCTTAGTCGTTCTTTGATTTTTGCCGTCCTGCTTTCGTTTGTCTGATCTCCATCCGAAAGCATAATCTCTGCCTTTACATTTCAAGCCTGCTTTCCTCATATTTTCTGCCTCATGTCCGTCTGAAATTTACCCTGCTTATGCTTAGCACCTGAATTAGATTTAATGGGTACTGTCAGCGACGCGTAAGTTTGAAAGTCGAGACCCTTTACTGAATGGTTCGTTGGACTTCGTTTGAGGGCAGAAGTAGATCTCAGCTGTTGAAGAAGTTTCATTTATGTAAATGCAACAATGAAGAAAGAGTTCATGATAGTTCCCCTAATTTGCTCGTGTACAGCTGGGAACCTCTTTCACCGCTATCATCACGTTCTATATTTGTTCTCGCTTCTGTACTCTTTTCAGCATTTTTGGATCACCAATTAATGACTTTAACAACCAGAAGAACCTTCACTATTATAAATCATTATAGGAACTACTTTTATCCATGGTTTCACTTCTTCTCATCGCAATCTTTTTATTATCTCTCTACTGTTCGAATTAACCCTTAACCATCTTGTGGATCTCGCAATCATTCCTTGGACTCCTATAACTTTAGTAGGTCTATGAAAGCAGTAATTGGTGTTTGTGAATATTTGCGAGAAAGAAGTGATTCAAAGAAATGGAGAAACTCTAAGCTGTAGGTCTTTGATAAAACTTACGTATGACATAAAAGGGATTTTGTTTCTGTTTTAACATTGTTCTTCAGTGGGCTTGAAAGCGTTTTAACGGATTGCAATTAACACCTTTGAAAGGTACTAATGCATGCGCCATCCCCTGTGAATTTTTCTCCTACATTTTAAATTCCATAGACAAAAAATCTATTCCTACAAACTGCGCTAAGACTCCTTTTCTGCTTTCTAACGATTTTGGTCGCCAAAAGGTTTTTTAAACAATTTAGGTCAGTTTTCAGTATACGACCAAGCGTTCTAGACGATGCTTGACGAGGCAGTGTCTTTCTAAAAAAATTCTTCACTTTTTTAGGAGTGCCAGCCGGCAACATTGCTATGCTGTTCGGAGTCTGTAGTGTAGTAGTCTGATTGCCTTTTTCAAAACACAAATCTGCTCTACATGCACCACTTTAGACCGAAAAAACGCTTTTTCAAAGCTACGAACCTTCTGAGCACGTTCTGAGCTCCCAGACCTTGAGGTTTCTCGTATTTTATGCGATAATTGAGATAGCAATCGGTTAGACCTCGGTATGAATATGAGAGAGCGTTTAGAGTAAAGTAAGAATGCGCTAAAGGCACTGCTTTGGAAAACCGAGTAACCCTGAGCGTGTTCATTTTTCCGAAAAATCAGTTTTTTTGTATTAGGTGGGTCAAAGTTCTGTCGTTTTATTTTCAAAAATTTGTAACTTCGCAAAGTTTCAACGGATTTGCTTGCTTTTAGTTTTGTTAGAAAGAAATATTCTTTCACTTTCAAACACTATTTTGTAGAGCTTTGGTTTCGCACTGATTGTAGAGATGAAAAAGACCATATAAGCTTTGGCCATTCTAAGTTAGGTCATTGAAAATTTGAGACACTGAAAAATAAAATCTGATAACGTCAGTACATATATTTTTTGGCCTACACTTTGCATCTGTGAAGAGTTTGTGCTGTTTGGACGTCTCTGTGAGAAGATATGATTTCCGCGAAAATTGACAAATTAATTAATTTTGGCGTTTTCCATAGAAAACTCAATATTCATAACTTCTCACAGAGACGTTCAAGCAGCATAAACTCTCAACAGTTGCAAAGAGTAGGCCAAAAAACATATGTAAGACGATTTCAGTCTTTTTACAGCGTTCCAGATTTTTGGCGACCTAACTTAAAATGGTCAAAACTTATAAGGTCTTAGTTTTCCATTTTTATCTCTACATTCAGTGCGAAACCAAAGCTCTCCAAAAAGTGTCTGAAAGCGAAGGCTTTTTTCTTTTTAATAAAATTAAAAGCAATCAAATTCGTTGAAGTTTCGCGAAGTTACAAGCTTTTGCAAATGAAACCACAGAATTTTCGGACCCACCTAATATATTAGGTTGTGTCCCGAAAGTTTTGTCCGTTTCTTTCATCGCTCACTAAAACTTACAGAACACCAATCCATGGACGGCATAGGTACCATTTAATTCAGATTTTTATTCTCTTTCTTACAGTTATACTTGCTCGCTGATCCACTCTGTCTTTGCAGTGTTATCGCCATGGCTTTTGAGCAGCTCAGCAGTAACGCCAAATTTTTCCTGAATTTTAGAATTTTTTATTCTTATGTTTCCAAAAAGCGCTGATAAATGTTATGTAGAGCAGACCCTTGGCTACATTGTAACCATTTTAGATTACATGAGCAGCGTCTTACCAAGTCCGTTATAATTATTTATTAGGCGGGTGCAAAAGTTTTGTCAGTTTTTTTTTCAATCCATCGACGAACACACTAGAATGGAGATAGACAAACGCTTTAAAATGCATCGAATGCAGAATTTCTTCCTCTTTCCAGCTGCTAAACCCTCGTTGTGTCTCGTTGCGAGATTGACGAGATATTCGCTGGCAATTATAACCACTCATTTCTACCATGTCCAACTTTCACTAATTTCCAAAATATTTCTATGAGACTTTTGGAGGAGCCCTAATAATTACCAGATAGGGCATGCCAACTTACGCAAATTTTTTCTTTTTTTCAGCTGCTTTTCCAGATTTTTGCTAAATAATTATTTAAAAGACTTGTGTTTTACAAAAATCGCATAAGCTGTTATTGCACCAAATACTGCAAAACCTATAGAAAAATGAGGTTTCAACCTACGATTCTTACTACCGCTACCATTACAAAGTAAATGAGCGATTTTCGCTTCAAATTATGACGGTTTTGAAACATAGGTTACGCCAGTGCGCACTCCTGAAATTGAGAAATACTGCGATTTTCCCCACAAATTTCGCTTCTCTCGGCAAAAAAGCCAAGTATTAGAAAGAGGAGAAAAATCTGCATCGAATGGTGACTGAAGTGTTCAACATTTTATGTTCTACGGGGTCAAAATAGGCTGAATGTATAATTTGGTCACTTCAAACAATAAATCGTAGAAGTTCTGAAAGACAAGCCGTAGGGCTACAAAAAATTGCTTCTGTTGGCAAAAGGTTTGCCCTATCTGCTGGTTATTAGGGCTCCTCCGAAAGTCTCATACAAAAATTTTGAAAATTAGCGACATTTGGACATGGTAAAAACGAGTGATTGTAATTTCCTGCAAATATCTTGTCACTCTCGCAACGAAACACAATGGAAAATAAGCAGCTTGAAAGAGGAAGA